TGTGTTGTGTTCAGGTGCAGTAACAGACTGTGTGTTGTGTTGTGTTCAGGTGCAGATATCCGGCAGGTGAAGCGGGACGATGCGGGTGCTGTTCTGTCTGACACACTGCGTCAGTTCCTGTTTGAGCTGCAGGTGGAGGACGGACTTGCTGCTGTCGGATACAGTAATGACGACATCCCAGCTCTGGTGAAAGGAACAATCCCTCAGGTGTGACTCTGACTCGAATCATCATCTCATCCATAATAACATTAATAATAATAAACTCAGTTTAAAGTGAATGTCTTTTTCGCAACTTAAATTATTTCCATGTTTTCAGGGATAATAACAGTGAGTTGGATGTAGTGACATCTAGTGGTCAGACTGAGTCACAGGTCCCCTCAGTCCGACACTTTTAGTTAATTTATAAAGTTCTTTAAAGAGAAGTTTTATTAGTTTATGTTCACATTTTTCAGGAGCGAGTGACCAAACTGTCTCCCAGGAGTCACAGCGAGGACGACCTGGCCGAGCTGTTCGAAGCCTCCATGAAGCTCTACTGACTTTACTGGCCTTGTGGGGACCAAACACTCTGAATACACAACGCTCAAAGTGTGTGTGTGTGTGTATGTGTGTGTGTGTGTGACTGGTCGCAGGTCTGAGCTGTGTTGAGCTGCAGTTCCTCTAACAGCCACTAGATGTAGCTGGTTGTCTTCCTGCTCAGACTCACCTGTGACTGAAACACCTGAACACATGTGACCACACCTGAACCAAATAAAAATCTGTTTTCACATGTTAGTGTCAATGTTTCTAAGGTTTTTTAAATTGAAACATAAACTTGTAATGTGTGAAATAATACTGTGTGTGTATGTTTGTGTGTGTGTGTGCGTGTGTGTGTGTGTGTGTGTCATATGCTACGTACACAGATAGACAAATCTCTGTTTCCATCCGAAATAACACCTCCTCCCTGGCCCCACTGATGTGCAGAGTCAGTGCCACAATGTTCTATCATTTCTCGGTTCCCTGGCAGCCAATATTAAAACAACAGCTAAAAATCTAGTCGTCACATTCGATCCCCATCTAAACTTCAAAACACACGTTAACCAAATCATTAAATCTTGCTACTTCCATCTAAGAAACATTTCTAAAATCAAATCGGTTCTGTCCCTCTCTGATTTAGAAAAGATTATATATGCCTTTGTTTTCTCCCGCCTGGATTATTGCAACGCCCTGTATTCATGCTTCAGCCAAACCCTGTAACTCGTTTGCAGCTTGTCCAGAACACTGCTGCTCGTATTTTAACAAATCCAAACCGTAGGGCTCATATCACTTCAGTTCTTGCATCCCGTCATTGGCTACCAGTTAAATTCAGGATTCATTTTAAGATTTTTTTAATAACTTTTAAAGCCCTACATAATCCCGTAACGTGAGATCGCCAGCCTGTCCCTGTTGGCTGTCCCTAGGTCAAGGCTGGCCACTCAAGGTGACCGGGCATTTTCTGTCAGGGCCCTGAGGCTCTGGAAATCCCTGCCAGATGAGATTAGGCTCACAAACTCAATACCCATTTTTAAATCACCGCTCAAAACCTTTCTAACATGTGACCTGTAATTACTTTCACTACAATAATGACACTTACAGAGTTCAGTTATGATGCTCCCTCTCCCCTCCCCTGACCCCACCACCCCATCTCTCTCTGTATTCTACTCCCTCATTGCCACCCACCTCCTCTTTCCCAATTTTTCTCCGCTCACCCCAACCGGTCGAGGCAGATGGCCGCCCACGCCGAGTCTGGTTCTGCCAGAGGTTTCTCCCAGTTACAGAGTTTCTCCTCTCCACAGTCACCAGGAGGCTCGCTCATTGTGGGAACTGTTGGGTTTAATATGACAGCTTCTGCCACCTATGAGAGTAGGTATTGAGTTCACTTTAGTTTAAAAATAAATAAATAGAATAAAAAGGGCACAGAGGTAATGACGTCTGATCTACTGAGCGGGCCACGTGGCTTTCATAGCACTGCCAAATAAGCCAGTGGTCAGATTGACCTTTAGCCTCTCTTAACGTGATTGTGATTAATACTGAAACACTTGATGACACCAACGTACAATTGAAGTTATTATTTCATGACAACAACCAGTCTTACTGAGCTCAGTGATGGTTAAACTGCTCCAGGGCCCAAAACCTTTAACTGGATTGAAAACCTTTTATTATAACTTATTCTTCTTCTAGCCATGGATTTTATTATTTTTCCTGTGAAGCACTTTGTAACTTTGTTTAGATAAGTGCTGTACAAATACAGTTATTATTATTAGTAGTAGTAGTAGTACATTTGGGTACAGAATTCAGAATATTGACCAGTTAATTGGGGACAGTTTTAAGTCAGTGGTCATCTAGTGCAGCCTCATCATTAGATAATGTATCTCTGAGGTTTTTAGGGCCGAGTAATAGAACCTCTGTTTATTAGAGAATATTACAGCTCATCCAGGAAGCTTACGACGATGTCACTCAGGCAGCAGACTTCATGAACAGAAATAATTGTTGCCATATCATGCAAATTATTCTAAATAGAGGTATGTAAGTTGGGCACGTGTGTACAAAGCATGTTGTTTTGAGCACCGTGTTGTGTACATTTTCCAGCCACTATGCTCGCCTTGTCACGCCTCCTTCTCATTAACAAATTAAGCACTGATTTGGTCCATGTCCCATCTGCTAACATAGAGGAGGTTTAAGACCTGTACTGCAGCCGACCACCAGGGGGTGATCGTTATGTTTTAAGATCTGTCATGTTGTCCGTCTTTATTTATAGTTTGTGGTCTGATACAACTGATCTCCTGCGTGTGTGTGTGAGTGTGTTGCAGAGACACACACATTCAGCGGGATTAGTGACAGCAGGTATTTAAGCTCAGTGTGTGTTTGTGTGTTTGCAGAGCAACATGCAGCAGATCTACAGACACACTGATGAACAGCTAGAAATTTATACAACTGTGTTTTCCCCCCAAGGTGAGTCAACACACACACACACACACTCTCACACACACACACACACACACACACACACACACACACACACACACACACTTTACATGTTGTCTGTCAAACGGTAAAAAGTAAATCAATTGAAATGACCTTTTCATGTGAAGTCACTGATCATCATTATATGAAGACTTTGTTACTGAGTTACTACGTAACAACGATCAGTTGAAACTAAAACCATCAACCCACTGAGGCTGGATTCAAAGTCATCATGTGACTCAGTGGGTGTGGCCTCCTCGTGCCCGTATGTCCTCCTGACAATGACATGATGCTCCTGATGCTTCTGGACAGTCTGTGGACGGACTTGGTGGCGTCACATGCACCGATACAATACGTCTATGGGAATAGGTGCTCCACTTGATTAAGGTCAGAGGAACATGAGGTTCCACTGCACCAGGAGGAACCCCGGGGCCACCAGACCGGGAGCACCAGGAGGAACCCCGGGGCCACCAGACCGGGAGCACCAGGAGGAACCCCGGG